TTTTTTTTTTCCCCCTCTCTCTCTCTCTCTCTCTCTCTCTCTCTCTCTCTCTCTCTCTCTCTCTCTCTCTCTCTCTCTCTCTCAAGTCCGCAAGGGAACAATAAACCGAATGTGCAAAACGAGAATGAATCGCTCCACCTCGTCCTTGAAGAATCGTTCTCATTTTGCATATATTGAATGGCGCAAAAGGGGAGAGATGGATAGATAGATAGATAGATAGAGAGAGAGAGATCCGACAACTTTCCTGCGCAAAGTGTTGATACGGCCCTGAGGATTTTTAAGGTAATGAAGACGGGCGAACAACAACAACCGCTGACCCGCGACACAATGGAGACAAACGGATCTGAAGGGGGTCAGACCCAGAAAAAGGTGGACTAGACTGTCACAGTTGCAAATGCGGACCCGTTCTACGCGGCTTTCGAACCGGTGCCGATGGATGTCAACCCCCTTCTAGACGCTATAAATAAGACCCCAAACAACCTTGAACCCGAAATACTTAAGCCTGAAGGCAAGAAGGAGGGGGTTCCCCACCACCGCATATACCCATGAAACAAAAACTGGTGATTGTGGTTAATTGGTTGATGGCAAACATGGAAGCGAAATTCAATCCTGTCTCCGATGGGTTTCGAGACATGACGTATTTGAAGCTCTTCCCGATGTTACACACGAGTATCCCCCTTAAAAGTGTGCTTAAACATAGGTTATAGTTCAGCATGACATAGGCGGAAACATGGTACAGATTAACTTCCATGGTTTTCACCCGGTTCTGCCCGCCAGAGATAGTGACATAAGAAACTGTGGAAAAGGAACTGGATTGACGATCCCCATAATTGAAAAGGAGTCGGAATCCTATGGTTCTGTTACAAAAAAAAAAAAAAAGTTTGGAGACTTTGCTTCATTGACGTCATCCACCCCTTCAATTGCTTCAACTACCTTATTGGCTTCAACTACTTGGGACGTAGCTACTTCAAGCCACCACCCTACCTTGTGCATTCCCTTGTATGTGTTGTATGATGGTTCTTACTTAGTTGTTTTTCCTGAGTTTGACTCTCCTGTATCGTATATGCATTGAGACCATAGCGTTATCTTGCCTTCCTTGCTCCTAATTTTGACTTCCTCCCTAGTCGGTGAGTTGTGTGCATTTTTCCCTCACCCACTACCCTCATCACCCTAGTTCGGGTCATTGCATGCCTCAGTTAGGCATATCTAAACCCTATTCTAGGCCCCCCTTTCATGGTCGAACTTGCATGGTGTCACCCTTTTGTCGAGCATTATCCGCTTGGGTGGGTTATCTGTTAGGGTTATTGGTTTTGTTTCGCTACCACTCCCTCGCCCTGAGCCTGATGACCTATCTCATCTTTGTGTGTGACTCTTACGAGTTTCGATTCTTAGGTTACATTCACCCTTTTTGGGACCATCCCACTCTTAGTGGTTCAACGAAACGACATTATCGTGTGACATATCGCTATCTTTTCCTTTCAGCACTGAGGCAATTGCCTATAGGACTTCAAAATTATACCCTACTACATTTCATTTTTGTTGTGAGCTATTATGTGTATATCAAACATTTATTTTTTCTCTTACATTATGGAGCTTAGGTTGCATCGCATCAACTCCGCACGGAGTTTGCTTCGAATCCAAAATTCCTAAACTTTATTGATGCAAAGTTCCGCTGATTTTTGCGGACGTGAGTTTATGGCTCTCACGATCCACTACGTGTCTGAGGATCGTGTAACTTGTCTTTGGCTGGCCAGTCTTGTCAAATACAAGTTTCGTTGCTTTTGCGAAAGCGTGTTTATGACTCTCATGATCTACTACATGTATAAGGATCGTGCAACGTGCATTTGACTGACTAGTTTTGTCCGGTCCGGTCAATCCGTTGGGGGTATACCCCGAATACAATATGTTTTCATTTCATTCTACACAGTTTGGAGTACGTGCGAGTTACGCTCTCTTCCATCTCCATCTCCATCTCCCTCATCCTCATCCCTCCATCTTAATCCTGACGGACCGCCATCCCGACGGGTTCATTACAAAGCAACATATAAATAACAACAAAAAATGTTAACTGCAGAATCGACCCCTTTACCTTATGGAACATCCTAGGGAATCATCGTGAGAGTGCCTTACCTCAAACCAAGCCCCACGTTGAAGTATTACTCATATTAATGAAACTTGTATCTTGAAGTACTTCATGGAGACTGACTCTTAGGCCTTGTTCCCTAAAGTATTATGGTTTTTAACATGGCGCTTTGTTCAACATACATGCTTGGAATGTATGCAACACACACACGGAGGAACTACTTCAGCAACAGACACAGGGTATGT